TGAGAGTGGAAACCAAAACAGAACCACAGAAGGGTTTGTTCTGGAAGGGAGCTTAAAGCTCATCCAGCCCCAACCCCTGGCACAGGCAGGGACCCCTTCCACTGGAGCAGCTTGCTCCAAGCCCCTGTGTCCAACCTGCCCTTGAACACTGCCAGGGATGGAGCATTCACAACTTCCCTGGGCAACCCATCCTAGTGCCTCAGCACCCTCACAGGGAAGAGCTTCTTCCTTATCTCCAACCTGAACTTCCCCTGTTTCACTTTGAACCCATCACCCCTTGTCCTATCACTCCAGTCCCTGATGAAGAGTCCTTCCCCAGCATCCCTATAGGCTCCCTTCACACACTGGAAGCTGCTCTGAGGTCTCCACGCAGCTTCTCTTCTCCAGGCTCAACAGCCCCAATGTTCTCAGCCTGGCTCCATACAGGAGCTGCTCCAGCCCCTGAGCATCCTCGTGGCCTCCTCTGGACTTGTTCCAACAGCTCCATGTCCTTTTTATGTTGAGGACCCCAGAACTGCACCCGGTGCTGCAAGTGGGGGCTCACCAGAGCAGAGAGGAGGGGCAGGATCACATCCCTCAACCTGCTGCTCACGCTCCTTGGATGCAGCCTAGCACAGTTGGTTTCTGTGCTGGGAGTGCACACTGAAGCCAGCTCAGGTTCAGTTTCTCATCAACCAACATCTTCCCAAGTCTAATTAAACACATTAAAAACAACTCTGGGAATTCTGATTGCACTCCCCCTTCCTGAAAAACGTCCCAGCAGCAGGTCTCAGTTAGGGCTTTTGCAGGAAAGGAGATAGCAAACACCTATTTTAAGGTTTCCTGGAGAGTGCATTGTGAACAGATAAACCACCCACTCCAGCCCTCATAACGATAACTCATCCCTCAATCTATCCTTTTACCTTCTTCCCTAGAGAACGAAGCTTGGGACAGATTTGAACTGATTCAATGACACAGAAACTCCCAAAGAAAACAGAAAACAAGGAGCAACTTGAACACTGGTTTCCCAAGGAGCTGTTTCTTACGTCGAGTGACACTGATCAAGTGGAAGCCCAAAGCTGCTCCCATGATCGGGCCATTAGCACATCACTGAAGATTTTCTGGCACCTTCTGTGCTATTTTACCCACTAAGAACTCTTGTTCCTTTAACTCATGAAGCCCAGAAGAACTGAATCATCTCCAAGACTTCTCCTTCCCTACCAGACTGAGGAAGCTGCCAAGATGGAACTGCTCACAGAGAGCATGAGCCATAAGCCCGATCTCACTGAAATACCAGGGGTTAGGAAATGGTTAAATCCTACTTACTGCTTTACATCTACCTCCTGATTCTAAATGAATCTCAGACTAAGCTCCCTGCAGAATTGCTCTGCTTTCCCCACCACCAAGCTCCGTGATGTATTTGAGGAAAGTAGGTTAGCAATGCTGACAAGGCTCATGAAAATCAAAGCACCTTTCAAGACTCACTCCCAGGTCCTATTCACTGTTCTTCTGCCCATATCCTCTACCTGCCCTGCCCACACAGTCCTCCTCTGACTGAGCACGTTCCCCAAGCCCTGTTAAGGGCTGTTTTTAATCCCAAACTCTAATAAAGCAATGATTCAAGGCCAGGTTGGACACAGGCTTGGAGCAAGATGCTCTAGTGGAAGGTGTCCCTGCCCATGGCAGGGGTTGGAGCTGGATGAGCTTTAAGGCCCCTTTCAACACAAGCCACTCTTTGACTTAATGAAATGAGCCCAAATTCCTAGCTCACCTCTTCTACTCTAGGTTACAAGCTTCCCAGGAAAGGGGAAACTTCCCCTGGAGAGTCCCCATCACACAGCACACGCCTTGTGCCACACTGAGAGCCACGAAGCAGAAGCAAATGCTTTAAACTCTTTCTGAAAAGCAAATACTGCAGAGATGACCAATTATCATTAATCATCATGCAACTGAGCAAGCAAGGAGAAACCATATGTATTCTAAAAGTCAGCCCACCTCACAAAAAACAGGTCTTCAGATGTCACTGATCTCTTTTGCCATTATCTGAGATCAGGGAAGGAAGGAACCATTAGAAAATGCGTATATTATGGCAGAAAAAGCCCAAGAAAGAAGGAACACTGATGATAACGAGTGAGAGGATGATACTCAGCAGGGAAGTGCACACAAAACTCATGGAATCATGGCATGGATTGAAGGGACCTTAAAGCTCCTCCAGCTCCAACCCCTGCAACAGGCAGGGACCCCTTCCATACAGCAGCTTGCTCCAAGCCCCTGTGTCCAACCTGGCCTTGAACACTGCCAGGGATGGGGCAGCCACAGCTTCTCTGGGCACCCTGTGCCAGCGCCTCAGCACCCTCACAGGGAAGAGCTTCTGCCTGAGAGCTCAGCTCAGTCTCCCCTCGGACAGGTTGAAGCCATTCCCCTTGGCCTGGCCCTTCACGCTCTCCAATGCATTCCATCCAGATGTGAAAAAGAGTATTTCTCTATTAAAGTATACATAAATTTCAGGACAATTCCTTTAGAACTTTATTGCTTCTGATTGCCCACGGCTCTTGCTCTTCAAGCCCAATCACTGTATTTCACACTAAATCCTCATTATACAATCTCCAGCACAAATAAACCACAGATACAGACCCTGAAACCAGCTTAGGCAAAAATCAAAAGCCCACAGAGGGCTAGATCAAAAGCTGGCTCACACCAACTCTGTTCTTTGTGCAGGCAACCAAGAGCAATTAATGCTTTTAATGTCAGTTTACCCCTTTTGGCTCTATAAATCAGAATAGGCAGCTTTTCTGAGTTAACAAAGGATCTATGCAAGGTACAGCTTAACCAGACCCACAAATTCAACTGCACTTCATCAGAAACAGGTATATTTAGGAGCACTGCACTCCATGAGCAGAATTATCTGCAGGGTGTACACAGAGAACATGCATTTATCAATACAAACAAGGCTGGCACACCAGGAGGAGGTGATAAATCATACATCTGAAAGAAAGGCCACTGCTTCCAGTGACTTTGTGAGAGTGGAAATGTGGAGCAAACACTGCAGGGAGGCAGGAAGGGTGTAGGGAACATACTGGATGCTTCTCTCTAACCTCATCTTAGCTACAGAGACTGCAAGAACTGAGCACACTTCTATTGCACTTCTTCAGCAGGAAGAGAAAATCATTCCTCAAGTGTATCTCCTGCCATCACCCACTTGGATGGGTCCTTCAGGAGCATCTCTGTAGTGTGTCACACCCTCTCCCATGCAGCACAGAATCTCAGCCTGGTTTGGGCTGGAAGGGACCTTAAAGCTCCTCCAGCTCCAACCCCTGCCACAGGCAGGGACACCTTCCACTAGAGCAGCTTGCTCCAAGCCCCTTCCAAGCCATTCCCCTTGGCCTGGCCCTACAGGCCCTTGTCCCAAGCCCCTCTCCAGCTTTCCTGCAGCCCCTTCAGGCACTGGAGCTGCTCTCAGGTCTCCCCTTCAGGAGCCTTCTCTTCTCCAGGCTGCCCCAGCCCAGCTCTCTCAGCCTGGCTCCAGAGCAGAGCTGCCCCAGCCCTCGCAGCAGCTCCGTGGCCTCCTCTGGACTCAAGGATGAGGAGCACAAGATGCCTGAATGTTCCATCCCAGTGCAGTGCAGTGGATCATGGAGCAGAGAGCACCCCCTCAGCACTGCTGTTGTTTGCAACTGGTTTCCAGCAAATCTGCCTCGAGTGGGAGCAGAGCACTCAGCGGGTATCCTGGCTGCTGACATTTAAAGTTCATGTGACTAAGCAGAAAGCAAACCATGTAAAAGTCAACCCTGTTTTTCCCATCCTCCTGCACAAGAACAGCTGGATTGGGTCAGTGATGCTTTGGCTACCCCAGTGTCTTCTCTGCAGCAAGTGTGGATACCTAGGGGAAAAGTTAAGCCCAGGGCAGCAGTACAGTGCCATTTGCTGAGCAAACTCACCAGCCCATAACTGTGTGCAGCACAGGGACTTCCTCAAGTGCATGTTCATTTTTAACCATCAGCTGTATTGCTTTAACCTGCCCGAAGGGAGACTGAGCTGAGCTCTCAGGCAGAAGCTCTTCCCTGGGAGGGTGCTGAGGCGCTGGCACAGGGTGCCCAGAGAAGCTGTGGCTGCCCCATCCCTGGCAGTGTTCAAGGCCAGGTTGGACACAGGGGCTTGGAGCAAGCTGCTCCAGTGGAAGGGGTCCCTGCCCGTGGCAGGGGTTGGAGCTGGAGGAGCTTTAAGCTCCCTTCCAATGTAAACCAGGCTGGGATTCTGTGATTCCATGATTTTACACCACTACATTGAGGTATTGGATTGTTTTCTATATAAATGCTTTCACATCTTACAACACCAGGCACCACACACAGAAATAAATGGCCAAGGTAGGAGCGGCTCAAACCATTCTGCAGAGCACAACACACTGAAAACCAGTATTTAAAGAAAAACTGTTTCTATTTTTCCTTTACAAAAGGCTGCAACAGAAACTATTTGGAAATTATTTCCCTGTCCACAGGCACACAGCACAAACTCATGCCAAGAATCCTGCCTTTGCCACAGCAGGGATTCTGACCCAGGCAGTGAACACAACGGTGCTCTTCACCTTCTTCTTACTACAAACCAAGACTAAATCATTTGCTAAGGAGATACTGGGACTCATAAACACTTAAAAACCCCTTCACTCTCACAGCTCCTTATGGGAGCAGCACATTCCTGCTGTGTGCTCCACTCCAGCCTGCTGAGCACCTCAGCTTCATTAACTTTAGAAATCAACACAACGCAATGCACCAGACACTGCTGCCGGAGCATCACTTTAGGCATTTCTTGACCCCAAAATCACTTGCTGCTTTTAAAACATCATGTGATCCTGTACCAAATGTCATTTAATATTACGGGTCCAACCCACAGCAAACACCAACGCTTCAGAATCACCATTTGAACCTCCACAGCATCCAAAGCTCTGCTGCCTGTGGAGGGGAAAAAGGTGTTTGGAGAAGTATCTAAACTCAAATGAACAGCACACATAAAGCAGGGATTGATACCTCTTGGATCTGAGCTTCCTTTGGATGGAGATAATCCGGAGAGGAGCGTGCCTAGGGCTGAAGGGCAGAGTCTTCACAGCATTCCACAGCTCTGCAGGAGACACAAGAAGAAGAAAACACCGTGAGGATCCAAAGACAAACCTGTCGGATGGAAACCACAGCTCCTGGAGCAATGAGAGGTCTTTACCTCCACCAGAGCAGAAGGAGCAATGGGTACATGTAAGAAGTGCAGTCAGAAAAGGAGGAGCGATGGAGATGAAGGATAAGAGGAAGGGAGGGAAGGGATGCCGGAGCTGGCAACCAGCCCTGCAGTTGGACAAAGACAGCATGATTGATGTGAGTGGTCTGCAGCTCCTGCTTCCTACCTGCTGTCATTAAACACAGATACACAAACACGCTGCACCTCTCCTGCAAACCAGTATCTCCATTTCCCTTCCTGCTCTATGGAAGGTGTCCCTGCCCATGGCAGGGGACGGAACTGGATGAGCTTTAAGCTTCCTTCAACCCAAACCACTCTGGGGTTCTATGAGATTAAACATGAGCACCTTCAAATCACGACACAGAATCCTCCTCCAGCTCCATGCTACAGCTCAGTGACTCGGGGTGCAATACCCACCCCTGCATCCTGCACAGAGCCTACACCAGCTATGCTTTGCCTACACTCTGCTGAAGAATGGAGTAGAAACCAGCAGCAAAGAGCATCAGAAGGGGATGAAATCAGAACAAGGGTCCCCTCAGCTTTCAAAAAGGAGAAAACAAAGTTCAAGCTTCCATTTACCTACTTGTTAATGAGGATCTGAGACAGAACAGGATTTAGCCCAAGTTTTACACATCCCTCCTACACCACCCTTCCCAGCTGACATAAAAGCTCAAAGGACTGAAAACAAACACCTCGGGATAAGTACAGCACAAAAAAAGCTCTTGAGCAGCTCCACATGCTTTATGCATTATAGAGAGGAACAGAAACCCCACTGTTCACAAGGCAGGACCACTGCTCCTTCTAACAGTTGTTTATTTTAATCAACCCGCTACCAAAAGGTTTACATTAAATACATATCCCATTCCTTCTGACCACAGATCCAGGGTTGGTGTTCCCTCAGAAACACCCGCGGGGAGAACACAGGACACAGAAAACCACAGAATCATAGAATGGTTTGGGTGGAAGGGAGCTTAAGGCTCCCCCAGCTCCAACCCCTGCCACAGGCAGGGACCCCTTCCACTGGAGCAGCTTGCTCCAAGCCCCTGTGTCCAACCTGGCCTTGAACACTGCCAGGGATGGGGCAGCCACAGCTTCTCTGGGCACCCTGTGCCAGCGCCTCAGCACCCTCCCAGGGAAGAGCTTCTGCCTAAGAGCTCAGCTCAGTCTCCCCTCGGGCAGGTTAAAGCCATTCCCCTTGGCCTGGCCCTACAGGCCCTTGTCCCAAGCCCCTCTCCAGCTTTCCTGCAGCCCCTTCAGGCACTGGAGCTGCTCTCAGGTCTCCCCTTCAGGAGCCTTCTCTTCTCCAGGCTCACCCAGCCCAGCTCTCTCAGCCTGGCTCCAGAGCAGAGCTGCTCCAGCCCTCACAGTTCCATGGCTCTCTTTTGGTTGCATGTCAATGAAAATGCTGAGTGCCTTTGGGAATGCTGATCCATCCCATCTTTCCCTGCAACAGAACATCAAGAGAGAGGCTCTTCAAGCCCAGCAAATGAAACAGCATGAGATCAAAAATTAATAAAAGGATAAATCTTCATTTTTACTGAAGTTTCTTGAATCTCCTGCTGCAGGAAACCACCACCTGAGATGGCATCCTTACAGAGAAAGAGGAACATATTACACTGATGCTCCAAAGTCCAATTAATCCCAACACTTGCCACCAAGACCACGAATGCACTCAGGGAAACAACTCAGCAACATTTCCACCTGTAGCAAAGCTGCTTGACTTCTGTATTTCCACCTTATAAAAAGCATATTCAGTACTTGCAATTCCATAGAACCATGGAAAGGTTTGGTTTGAAGGGACCTTAAAGCTCATCCAGTTCCAACCCCCTGCCACAGGCAGGGACACCTTCCACTAGAGCAGCTTGCTCCAAGCCCTGTATTTTACCCTGGTTTTAGGTTTTTGACTCCCCTTTCTGGTCCCCAACACAACACATCCTTAGGAGAGAGAGGAAAGACCAAGAGAATTCCAGCAGAAACAAGGACTTGACAGATCGCATCACATCAAGCTCTGCAGTGGCAAATTAGTGTCTCTTTGAGCACATTCTGTACTCCAAAGTAGCCTCAGTGCTTCGAGAGGTACCAAATATAACCCAGCCCCATTTTAACTCCCTTCCAGGAATACACACAGCCAGCTCTCGAGGATACGTGGGCTGCAGTTTCACTTCCAAAAGCTTCGGTAACATCTGATGTAATCAAACAAATGGCTCCTTTTGTGGCAGGAAAGAAGCAGAAAATAACCTGGGGTCAAGGAAAAGGGGGAGAAAACCACCTCCTCCAGGTCTTCCTCCACCTTTAGGGACCTTGGATAAGCACCATGTGCAGTTACCCCAGACTCAGCATCAAGCACGGCATCGATGATCATTCCTTCCACTGCTTTCACACTCCCAATGCCTTTGCCATTATGCTTTCATTCAGCAGAGCAGCTTTGACAGCTCCATTTGCTTCTCAAGTCCAAGTTTTGGAACATTTTTACATCTTTACACTTGGAAGGAAGTCAATAAACTCAGCTTAGCAAATAGTAAAGGTTCCCTGGATGCGTCCAACCCTGCTATGTGGGATGAACACATGAGGGTTTCAAGGCACCACCTCAATTTAGCAGGAGGACACTATGACACAACCTTAATGCCATGGGGTTATCAGGAAGTTCACCTTTGGTTCATCTCTAGCTGCTAAAGAGACAGAGGGAAGTATTGTACCAGCTCCCATTAACCTTGTCAGTGGGATCATTCTTCAGCTGCAATAGCATCAATAGCTTCTTGCATTGCACTGCCACACAGACGTGCAGTAAAATCACCCTTATGGAGGTGGGTTTTGGTCCCTTTTCTGCTTTAGCTTGACCAGGAGTCAGAATGATTAGGTACATAATGCCTGGACAGCAGAGAGAAGCTGCACTGAGCTGCCCTCCATCACCATTCAAAAACCAGTCATAAAGGGTCAGGAAATGATCCAAACAGGTACTAACACACCAGAAATGCCCCTTCCCTGGCAGCGTGCAAGGCCAGGTTGGACACAGGGGCTTGGAGCAAGCTGCTCTAATGGAAGGTGTTGGGAAGGGGGTTGGAACTGGATGAGCTTTCAGGTCCTTTCAAACACAAATCATTCCATGATCCTATGAAATCCAGTTTCAAGTGGATTTTCCACTTCAGTGTGTGAGAAGACGCAGGATGCAGCTCTAACTGCTGCCACCACCATACTTTCCTTCATGCTGTATCCCCATCTCCTACCTCTCTTCAGCTGCAGCCCTGGCCTGCCACGTTCTCTGCCCACAGTCATGCCAAACACCACAACACTGAGATGGATTGGCAGAAACACAGCTACTCCCAAGCAAGGTCTTTGAGCAGAAGTGCAGACATTCATTAGAGAATGAGGAAAACCAAATACATGTTACATAGGGAAAACAGGAGGAGGGATCAGATTGGAAAATTTAGGGAAATACCATACTGGGAGGCTCTGCTGGCACCACCATGTTCATGGAATCACAGAATCCCAGCCTGGTTTGGGGCTGAAGGGACCTTAAAGCCTATCTCGTACCAACCCCTGCCATGGGCAGGGACCCCTTCCATAGAGCAGCTTGCTCCAAGCCCCTGTGTCCAACCTGGCCTTGAACACTGCCAGGGATGGGGCAGCCACAGCTTCCCTGGGCACCCTGTGCCAGTGCCTCAGCACCCCATAGGGAAGAGCTTCTGCCTTACATCCAACCTAAAGCTCCTCTGTTTAAATTTCAACCCATTATCACCATTATTCTTCTGTAATTCCCATTTTTTATCCGTGACTTTTGTTCTTTCCACACAAGTGGGCTCCAGTGGTAGGAGCTGGGTACACACATTATAAAATAGATTAAGAATTAATTACAATGTGGTGATTAAAGTCCTGCCTGGTAGATTGCAGATGGCTCTGATACAGCAGTGTTAGGAGAATTCAATACAAATACACTCCACAACTACTTATCAACAGGAGATAAAAGCATTTTCTAAGTGTCTGACATGCTGGAGAGTAAAACTAAACATGATCCACTGAGCAAACAACTTGATTCAGTTGCAAAACTTTCCTATGAGCCAATTTTCTATCTCAAAAGCCTTCTGTACCGCTTGAGTCCCTCGAATGGCACAGCCATCCATCAGGACACCCACTGAGACCAGGACTTTTTAAGGAAGAAAAAACATTAGGAGCTAAAATCCAACAGGACACGGTCTAACGATGCTTGTCTGGAGCCAGGCACTTACCTTTAAATCTTATTCCACAGCATGTGGGGTTTAACCCTTTGAGACTCCAAACCCAGCAACATGGAAAGGGATCTTGTGGGCTCCAATAAATACAATTAAATTGTCTGAGATTGGAGATAAAACGCCTCTTGGGGTAACGGGGAGGGATGACACTGAGCTTGTGTAGCCTCACACAGGAGGCTTGTCCTTGTATCTGTATGTTCCTCTGGATGACTAATAAAACACAGAATCTCAGACTGGTTTGTGCTGGAAAGGACCTTAAAGCCCGTCCAGCTCCAACCCCTGCCATGGCCAGGGACCCCTTCCACTGGAGCAGTTTGCTCCAAGCCCCTGTGTCCAACCTGGCCTTGAACACTGCCAGGGATGGGGCAGCCACAGCTTCTCTGGGCACCCTGTGCCAGCGCCTCAGCTCCCTCACAGGGAAGAGCTTCTGCCTTATCTCCAGACTGAACTTCCCCTGTTTCAGTTTGAACCCATCACCCCTTGTCCTGTCACTGCAGTCCCTAATGAAGAGTCCCTCCCCAGCATCCTTGTAACCCCCTTCACACACTGGAAGCTGCTCTGAGGTCTCCACGCAGCTTCTCTTCTCCAGGCTCAACAGCCCCAATGTTCTCAGCCTGGCTCCATACAGGAGCTGCTCCAGCCCCTGCTCATCCTCGTGGCCTCCTC